CTCTCGCAGGGTTTGCACACATCTCTTTCATGCTGTGGTGTGATGATTAATCTCTCACCTAGAGGAGACTTAGAATCACTATAGAAACACTCTAGGGTATCTGTAAGCTATTTCCAGAAAAGTTTAGCCGGACAGCGACGATTCACCCCAAATGTGAATGACGTCATCCCATGGACTGGCATCCAGACCTATGTAAAAGGAGAAAACGGGCTGAGGACAAGCAAGCACTCATTTCTCTGCTTCCCAATCACAGATGTGGCATGGGCGGCTGTCCTGTGTTCCTGCTGCCATACCTTCCCCATCATGGTGAACTGCAGACTCACACGCCATGAGCAGATATTAGCCCTTTCTTCAAGGGGATCTTTGTTAAGTGTTTTACCACACCAATGAGAAAAAGGAACTAATACCCATGGGTGAGCATTTCTCTGTTGATAGTGTCTTCCAATGCACGCTTTGATTTTTTTCTTGAGGCTTACAGTGTTGTTTTTCATCTGATATCTTTGGTGTCATAAGGAAATTATCGCCAAATCCAACACTGCAAGGTTTTGCCTTGTTTTCTTAAGTTTCATAGTTTTAAATCTCACATTTAGGTCTATCTTAGCTTTAATTTTTTTTAAAAAAAATTTTACTTTATGTGTGGGTGTTTTGATTACATGTATGCCCGTGTACCATGTGGAAATCAGAAGGCACGAGAGTTGCAGGAACTGTAGTTACAGATGGTTGTGAGTTACCACGTGGGTGCTAGGAATCAAATCTGGGTCCTCTGCAAGAGCAGCCAGCAGCCAGTGTTCTTAACCCGAGCCGTCTCTTTAGTCCCCTTTTGGCTTTTTAGATGGCACTCCGCCAACCCTTCACTCACTTGCATGCAGGTACTCAGTGCTCCCAACACCATTTGTTAAAAAAGTCTCTGCTTTCCCCCATTAGTCAGCTCAAAAACACTTGATCAAATGTGTGGTTTTCCTTGCTTTGCTAGTCCTGTAGTTTGTTTGGCTTCCTGCGCATACCAGTGTTTGATGACTCTAGCAGTAGAGTCTGGAATTAGGAAGTCTGAGGGCTCAGTTCTATTCATTTTCAAGATTGTTCTGCAAATCAGTGCCTTGAACTTGGGTGGGTCTTCCTACTCTGCGAAACCCGCTATTAGAATTTGGGTAGGGATCCCCAGGGATGTTCTCACAGCACTGTCTTCTACACCACATGGAATTTTTTCATTTGTTTTCTGAAATTCCCATTTTATAGTCTTTCATTTCCTTGGCTAAGTCAGTTAAGAAGAATTTTATTCTTATGCCAGTGTAAATTTATTTTCATTTCCAGTTTCCTGTCACTTTGCCTCACTATCTGAATGTGAAATGTCCTCGGGTCTCTGGACTGAGTGTTTAGTCTGCAGCTGTGAAGACTATTTGGAAAGGTGATAAAGCTCGGAGGTGGAGTCTAGCTGGAGAAGTAGGTCACTGGGAGCATCCTTTGAAGGTTACAGCTGATCCCCAACCCCACCTATGTGCCAACTTCCTGTCAATCATTAGTAGGCAGCCTCCTGCTCCACAGTGTCTGCATGATATTCCTCTTTACTAAAGCCTCAAGATCAATGGAACCTAGAATTACGGATTCAAATCTCTGAAGCCAAGCCAAAATAATCTACCTTTGTGTTATTATTTTGGTCATAGTCTGATGATACAACTAAGCAGATCTGTGAGTGTCTTTCTAAGATGAACTGTGTGGGGAGGCCCTTCCCCTGTATGTGGCAGCCCAGTTATAGATGTCAGAGGAAAAAGCAGTGCTGTGATTTTCCTCCCTACCGTGAGCGCATCTACATTGTATCATCCTTTACTGACAGCAGACCCCAACCTCCCCAGCCTTTCGACAAAGACCAGTGACTCTCCAGCAATCCTCCACACCTCCAGCTAGAGGGGGATTGCTGATGCATTCAGCCTTGGGAACTAAGCAGATACTGGGTTCTCAGCACTCCCAGCAGGCAAGTAGCCACTGTTGGGGATTACCCAGTCCACGTTGTGTAAATCAATCTAGTAAATCCGTTTTTGTAGTATGTTCATTCTATGGGTTCGGTTCCTTTTGAACCCTGAGAGCTATACAAAATTAAGGTGCTTTCTTCCATCTGTATTTAGTCCTAAAAGTATGAGTGGACTCCTTTGGATTTCTGATAAGATTTTATCATCCACAAATGGAGATGTTTTTCATTTTTTATTTTTTTTTATCCTGACTTTCCTGGATAGAATTTCTAGGACTATGTTGAACAGAATAGTGGCCCCTCACCCTGTTATAATCAGTACCTTACCCTGCGCATCACACTCAGTAGCCATTCATTCATGACTTTACATCCATTTCTTTCTATTCGTTATTTGCTGACTATCAAAAAAGTTACTGAATTTGTAAAATGCTTTTTCCACATCAGAGATGATTATGTACGTTTAGTTGTTGGTCTCAATTATATAGTGTGCACAGGAGCTATTCTTTTCAATGCATTAGTCTCTTAAGTTATGAAAAAAACAAAACGTGGAGTCAGCAGTTGCAATGCTAGCAATATTTTGTTGTCCCTATGTTTACATTGTGTCCTTCATTTTGGTTTCTGGTCACTGTTTAGTACCCTTCAGCTTACCTGATGGACTCTCTTGGGCACTGACCACAGGGCAGGTACAGTGAGGATGAATTTCCTCAGCTTCCATTTGAGAATGATTGGGCTGGAGAAATGGCTCAGTGGTTAAGAGCACTGGCTACTCTTACAGAGGTCCTGAGCTCAGCTCAACTCCCAGCAACCACATGGTGGCTCACAACTGTGTATATTGAGATTTAGTGCCCTCCTCTGGCCTGTAGGTATACATGCAGGCAGAACACTGCATACCCAATAATTCTTAGAAAGAAAGAAAGGAAGGAAGGAAGGAAGGAAGGAAGGAAGGAAGGAAGGAAGGAAGGAAGGAAGGAAGGAAGGAA